CTCAATGTAAGTAGACTGTCTTGGAGGAGGGGGTGGTAAGAATTATAGTCCATAATGACTAAATATGGGTTCCCTTTAGTTTTGGCAGTACTGGGGTTTGAACTCAGGACCTCAAGCTTGGTAGGCAGGCACTCTACCACTTGAGCCACTCTCCCCAGTCCTTCAATCTAGGGTCTTTATGTTCAGCTGAGTCATGTCTTTCCTCTGGCTTTTCTGTTGATTTTAATGTTTTGTTTTGTTTTTCTTGTTCTTCATTGCCAAATGAACTATGTCAGTATCAGCTGGGAAGAAGGCAGGAGGTGCAGAGAGCTGGCTGCTGATTGCATTGTCTATCCCCTGGGAATTGGAGCCCTAAGAAGTTCACTTACTGCCAGCCTAGCAAGGGGGAAATCCTGTGCTTCTGGAGAGCCAGGGACTCTTGCTGGGTTGCCAGCCCTGGGGCTGGAGAAATGTCAAGGCTTCCTGATTGTCAGTGGGCCTGAGCCCTGAGCTCACTTGCTCTTTCTAGCTGAGAGAGTTACTTCATTAGTGAGCAATTTCAGTATCAATGGTACACATAAAAGATAGGGAACTTGTTGATCAATCAAGGTTGGGTAAGAATTAAGGATTTCTACCACTTCTACTGCAGAAGCTCCAAAGACTAAGGATTTCAGTTCACCCTCCATGTCAGGCTTGTCCACCTCCACCCCCATCGCTAACCACTTTCAGATCATAGGGCTGAAGAAACGTAACACCCAGAAATAGGGTTGTTATGGCTGACCATCAGCATCATCCACTCGCACACACAGTTGCTCCTCGGCCTTCATTGGCTCCTGCCCATGAAAACCCCTAAAACCCATCGCTAAGAGCCAATTCCAACAACCCTACCAGAGTGCTTTGTGTGATCTGGCTTTCTCACTCACCATCGTCCATTCAGGATTGAGTTTCCTCCATTTTTGCTATACAATATCATTTTGTTTCTTAGGCACCAAAGGTAAATTTTAGGAAAGTAGTGGGGTAAACTCAATTCTGTGTTCTCACCCTCTCCATAGTCTGTTCTTAAATGGTTTCTTCAAGGACCAATGTAGGGAATGGTAGGTAAGTTTGGGGCCCTACAACCCTAACCACATTTTCATATCCACAGTCTAAAGCATTCCTCACAATAACAACTACCCAACAAATTGGTACATGTCACTAAAGACTTAGCTAGAGGGATGACATTTACCACTGCTAGTAGCTTTTGGACAAAAGTGCTGCTTTTTTCAGCTCAGATAATCTTTTCATTTTTTGGAGAGCACAGACTTAACAGGTGACCCCCCTATCCTTAAATTTGAGATAAACAGCTGATACTCTTTCAAAAGAAGAGTTAACCAGATAACCTGCCTTAAAATGCTGTAGGCCACGTGGTGACCCAACCATAACACAGCACAACCAGGACTTAGCCTGCCTGGAGAAAGAAAGTACATATTTAGAATAAAGAGAAGATATAAGCAATGGAGAAGTTGGTTATATGTTATAGATTATAATAAATGAAAATACCAAGTGCATTTTAAATGATTAATGTATGAAAACTGTCATCGCTTAACTGCGCATTAATCAAGAGAAAATGCACCCTTCCCATAGTGGTTAATGTCGCAGGCTCCTTGTTCAGCTCTGATAATGTGCTTAATAATGCTTAGTATGACAATGAGTTGGGGTAGCTGAAAATTGGATGGTTGCAAATTTTGTGTAGTATTTGGATTAGCATCTTAATCCGTGCCTTGTCAGCCTCATCAGTATACAAGCTATGGAATTTTTCCAAAACTAGCAAAAAATCTGGATACATTTTAAAAAAACTTTTTGTTTTTAAATAAAGAATAGTGACCAAGGTACCTGCTTAAACAAATACTACCAGCATTCATTAGTTAGGATGGTTACATGTGAAAGAAATGATGCCAGATAGTAACAAATCCAAGAGAAGTTTATTATGAAAATGGCACCTGCGGATGAAAAAATTAAGTTACATAAAGACAACCATGTATGTGACATGTATGAGAATCTACAAAAGTATAAAAAGAACCCTGTTGTAAATGAAGTATGTACATTTCTGATTTGCAGCATTATCAATGGTCAATGAAAAAAATGTTTCAAAATAAGCCAGGCACTCAGGAAGTTAGGTCCGGTTAGCTTCACACAAAACAAATGTACCATAGCTGTCGCTTTGTAACGTTTTAATTATTTTTATATATATATCGTAGAGTTGGTAACACTGCTAAGATTTTTACGAACAGAATATCCCTTTCCCCATGATTCAGCTACTTGGCACCAGTCTCCTCATAAAAGTTTTCATATATTTGTACAAGAAATAGTTAAAAACACAGACACAGTCTTCACAGGTAATGAAGTGTTTTTTTTTTTTCATTTTGTAATTTTAAACACTATGGATTTAGACAGCAGCTGTGATTATCTGTTAGTTTAAATCACCAGAAATCATTTTGACACAACACAGAAACATTTATAAAAGAAAAAAACCAGCTGTCTAGCTGTTCTTTGCAGCGGATAGGTGCATTCCTTTGATTGTTCGATAGCTAGAGTAGAGCTTCCAAAATTAATCTTTAAATTTCTCCATCAGCCTTTCTCATCTTCTAAACCTACTGAAATCCTTCAAGTAAGCACACTACTAAAATTCGTGGCATTTAACTTCGTTCTGTTATTATTTCACCATGGCTCGGGCCCAACTCATGGAATCAAAGGTTCTAGAGGAATCCACTTAACACAGTGATATTCTAAGGACAGCCGAGTTACTATATTAGCATTGCACGAATAAACAAATATATATGACAATTCTATATTCCATTACCCCCTCCCATTTTGTTTTTTTAAAAAATGTTGGTTGACCTTTGAAATAATTTTCTGTCTCACTGGTAATTGCTTTATATATTGCTCCATCAGCCAACCTGAAAGGAAACCAAAGAAAAGCACCCACTGCTTATAGGTAGAGCACAAGGGACTCTGGGAATGTTAACAACTGAGGCTATGGCATCAATTTATTTAATATATCTGAGCATTATTCTTCAGTGCTTTTTGTTGTACTCCAGAAGACAGAGTCATACCCAGAATTCCATTGTGGGAAAAATGGCTCCATTAACCTTGAGCTAGTTAAGAGTCTTTTTTAAATCTCTGAGAATGAAAAAGATCTGGGGGACAGGGAAGGAAAGCAGAGGAGGGAAGCAGGGAGACAGGAAAGGGAGGGAGAGCAAGGAGAGGTAGGGACAATATACACTAGCAAAGCAACAGCAGGAATTTCGAAAAGTAAAACAGAGGATCACAGACAGTAGAAGCAGTATAGGGTGACGTTACAGAGGAAGGCCACCACACAAAAACCACTAACCCCCAAGAATCACTGATTCACTAGGACTGCAGGAATGGGACTTTACCACTCCAGACTAGAGATAGAGCACAGAGAAGACAAAGGACAAAACAACTACATTAGCTTAGTATATACTGCATATAGAACACACATTGAAACTGCAATGGGACTGACAGCCAAGGACACGTACACATTGTACACATTACAGTTCTCACATCTGTTATTAGATGCCTTAACAAACAGCTGCCAAAAATGAAGTGGGAGAAGAATTTATACTTGACAGTCATTTGCAGTGTTTGACACCACACTGATTTCTGGCAACGAAGACAAAATAGGATATTTTTTTCTTTTTCTTTTTCCTTTTTTTTCTTTTTTTACTTAATGTGCAGTTTTCAGTTGTAGTTATCTGTCTGAAGCTTATTAACCCATTCTTTACTTGTAAAACTTACTGGTTTCAACCCAGAAATTAGAACCAAAGGGAAATAAATTCCATCAAATCAGTCCCCCCCCATACAACCTTCCTTTTTTTTTTTTTAAGCAGGAAGTGAAAAAAAAAAACCCCGAAAACATGTTAAATATTTTTCCTTCTTTTACTCTGAAAGTGTTTTGAAGTTGCAAAATTAGCCTCAGTTAGACTGAGTAAGAAAGAAAGAAAAAAAGCTCAACAAAGGCAGTATGTACCTAAACTGCTCCTCAAATCAGTTTGATTGAGTTTTCCAAAAGCCCCTTTTTAAAAGGGCTTTACTGACCCATTAAATTTAATGTGAGGCTATGTTTGTTAGTTGGGAGGTAAAAACCTTTAAGTCCTGCAGCAAATGTTAATGAGGGCTTTGTCCTAACTAACCAAGGAGACTGCAGCAACGGACTCCAGACCAGGACAGAACACATTTTTTTTGTTGTTGTTGTTTTGTTTTTTTCCAAAACCCAGCCCAGGAGCTGCATTTTGTATGACGACATTACAGATTAATAAATGATAGCACCATGGTTTTAGAAATTAAGTTAATGTTTCAGTAATTAACATTTAGTCCAACTTTTTTTTTTTAAAAAAAACATTCTAGTCACAGGCCAGAAATTAAGTTTAAGAACCCAAATTATTTTTATGTGCAAGTAAGAAAATCTTAAAATCTTAACCATAAAAAGAGAATTAAATTCTGCATAAAATTCTAAAATACTATTCCCCTATTTTTGAAAAGAATTAGGAACAGAAAAACAAACAAAAAACCACCACCCCATTTCATTTGACTTAGTCAAACAGGGCACATTGTTTATGCTTGTCTCTTTCCATCTTGATCATATCAAGATCTGTAGGAAGAAACCCCAATGGTTGTCACTTGAGAAATCTCTTGACCACAAGACTGAGTATTCTATGGCAGAGGCATATACACATTAAAGACATCTTAATAAAGATGCAAAGAAAAGCAAAACAACCCAACACACACCTTAGAAGACAAAATGGCAGGCAACTGGTCACCTGACCCTCTGAAGGCCAAAAAATGAACATGTCTTTACAGGAAAGAATAAGTCGCGTTAAAGAAAGGGGGATGGAATGGGGACCGTCGTGTAGAGAGAGGACGCTAACCTGCTCGAATTCAAAGTGCTAGAATTAAAGGTCGAAACGAAAACGCCGACGATGCCTCCGAGGAGCCCTGTGCATGCGCGCGCGGGCGGCGCCTCAGTCCTCCTTGCGCTCCAGAGTCTGTGCGGCGTGGATGCCGTTGCTGTAGACCGGGAAGGGCAGCGTGGAGAAGAGTCCCTCGGCCGTGGTGAACACGTTGCCGGCGGGCATCTGCGTCAGGCTGGCCGCGCTCACCGCGCCGCCGAACGGTCCCGACATGTTGAGCCGGTGCACGTGGTGGTAGAGCATCTCCATGGGCGTCTTGGGATCCAGGCCAAAGCTGGGGCTGTTAACGTCCACGAAGTTAACAGCGTGCGCGTTGGGCAGCAGGTTGCCCTGCATGGCTAGGGTCACCTCGGCGGGCGCGTAGCGGATGGTGCCGGTGGTGTAGACCCTCTGCGCGGCCGTGCTGGTGGCCGCCAGGGTCCCGGTCACCCGGTGCACCAGCGGCAGCACGACGTTGCCCGCCTGCAACCTCTGCAGCGCCTCCAAGTCCCCAGTGTACAGCAAGGAGTTGGACGCGCTGGGGCCGCCCCCGCTGCCCCCGCCGCCCCCGCCCCCGGGGTGCTTGTCCCGCGGGGACGCCGAGAGCGGGGGCGACAGTGGGTCGGAGGCCACCGGGGCCAAGGCCGTGGTGGCCGCAGCGCTGAACTGAGTCTTGCGGGCGGCCGCGCCGTCGGCGCCGGGCGGGGTGAGGACCGAGTCCGGGATGGCCACGTGCAGGCCCCCGCCGCCCCCGCCGCCCTGCGGGGACGGGAAGTGCTCGGAGCTGGGGGGCTTGGTCATGCTGTAGGGGGACTCGTTTCTGGAGATCTCCCGGTTGGGCGGGTAGTTCCAGATGCTGCTGTCGTTGTCGAAGTTGATGGGTTCCGAGATCTCCGTCTTGATCTTGAGCACTGAGGCACTGTGAGGGGAGGACAGCAGCCGCGGGGGCTCCACCAGGCCGGCGTCCAGGCCGCCGGGGCTCGACGTGCTGGACAGGCGCCGGCGGCTGGCGCTGCCGCCCTTCTGCCGTTTCCGCCTCTTCTTGCGCTTCTGGTGCTTGCTGGAGGCCTGCGCGCCCGCCTCGCCCGCGCTGTCCGAGTCCTTGGCGCTGTCCGACGTGAGCGACTCGCAGTTCTGCAGCCGCGGGTCCGACTCGCTCTCCACGTAGCGCTCCACCTTGATCTGCATCGGGCCCAGCGCGCCGAAGCCGTCCTCCGCCGCCTTGGGGTGCTCAAAGTCCGAGTGCTCGAAGCTGTCGTCGCTGTCGCGGCTGTCCGGGTTGCTGGAGCTGTGGCCGTCATCGTTGCAGTTCATGTCGTTGTCACAAGCGTGGCCAGACTTCTTCCGGTCGGGTTCCGGGTCTTCGCTGTTCTCCGATTGATTGCCCTTCTCGTCGGACTTGGAGTTCTCGTTGTCCTCTGCGTGGGGCCCGCGGCCGCGATGTCAGGGTTGGGGGACAGGTGGGGGAGGGAAGAGACAGAGAGGACACCGCGTTAGCAGGGCCAAACAGGCCTCTCACCGGTGGTTTTTTTTTTTTTTTTGGGGGGGGTGGTGCCGGTGGTGGTGGGGTGCTGTCCCGTGCAAACGATGAGCTGCACCACCTCTGGTTCACTTAAAGTCTGGGCATTCTCTGTTGTGGGTCTAGATTAGTGGGAGCTGGGCCAGCAGATGTGAAAGATGACGTGATGCCATTGCTGCTGCTTCCTGGCCCGTCCTTTGAGTAAACTTCTCTGTCAAGACCCTCAACAGGGAAAACCCAGAACACCTGGGGCAAATGTGGACTCTCAGGCCCCACCTGGACCAGCTGACCCAGAATCAGCATTTCATAAGATCCCTAGATGATTCTTAGGCAGAGATACCCAGAGAGTCAGATTAACCTGGAATAATGTGTCAGGGCCCCAGAAAAATGATGGAATGCTACAGGACTTTTAGAGGTCTGTGCTTCCACTGGAGTATTTGTTCCTTCTTGAAAACCACATTCCCTTTCTAGTAATTATTTTTCTCCATCAAACTTACGGTTCATCATCTGATTGCCTGTATTTATTTGCTTTTATCTCTTTCCCCCATTAGAATATAAGCCCCATGGGGGTAAGGGACTTTTGTTCACTACTATATAAATAAGGGGCAGAGACTATCTATTCTAGAACTTTTGTCATAATAAAGAACTTTCAAATTAATACAGTTTAGGGGACAGGAGAGCAATCTAGATCTACCATGAGTACTTGTCACCTCCTCCTGCCTTCCTGCCTGTGCTTTATGTGCATTCATGTTGACAGCCCTGGACTACAGGTGCCTGATGATAGAAGGCTGGTGGGAGAACCCTAGTTACCTGCCACGTTTTAGGGAGAATTGATTTTTCCCGGTAAACAAAGCCTCAGGACACTGAGGGATGATGTTGACTTTTATGGCTTTCCTGTGTTGGTTTTAGAACCTTGGGCTAGTCATGAACTACTCTGGCCTTCATTTCCCCTTCTGAAGCAGAAGTGGTGAGGTTAGAATAGGTTTAGGAGCTTTTGCAGCTGTCACATTTCATGACTTCTGTGCTCCCTGATGATTGGGAACTGGAGGAAAAGTAAAAGTTTGTATTATTCTTCTGGGCTCCATGTAACTATGCAGGAAGCTTACTTCCCAAATAACGACAAATAGGAGGGCATGGATTTGTTCTGCATACATTCAGAAAATAAGTAGCAGTCTAGCACCCTATTAGAGGCACTTGCTCACACATTGAGTACTCTACTTTAGAGCTCAATCCAGCTTGGCGAGGGGCTGAACATTTGGGGCTCTAACTCACAGACTCTCTTGGAGCTGGCAGAGCTAGCCCTGATACCTGCTTCCAGAAAAGAGGCCCGATCTAGCCATGAGGTTCAGTATGGCTCCTTCTGCAGAGTTAGGGGAGGGCTAAAAACTAATTGCTGAGTCTACCTCTCTGTATGTTTATGTAAGTATATATACATACATATGTATACACTATGTAAATATATACATTTATGTGTGTGTAGCGAATAGGAGACACAGTAATAACCATGTATAAATCTTGATATAAAATTTGGTCACCACCCTTCCCCTTGCATTTCGAAAGGTAAGCTGTAGCTATAGAACATGGGGAAGTAATACCTGTAATACCTGAGGTGTCTTTAGAGTCTGATTCAGAGTCGGATGTCTCAGAGGATTCAGAAGTTTTCTCTGGGAGGTGGGGGAGCTGTGCGATGTCCATAGGTGTGTCCTTGTACTCGGGATTACTGTGGAGGAAAGGAGACATTTGTCAAGAATGTAGGCACTCATTCTGCATGGTTTGCTTTGGACCATTTTCTACCACATTTGCCCCAAACTTCTAGAGTTTAGAAACTTTAGAAGACTAAACAGGAAATCATTTCTCAGCTCTTCATGGGATTTTTTACAGAAGCTTGGATTGCATGTGCCAGGGTACAGGTGCACCCTGCTACAATGATTGAATTCCCAAATCCTGCGTGAAAGCCACTAAAAGCTTTTAAATAATCAGGTACCACTGGGGGCAGGGAACTGTGCTGCTTGACATTCCTCCCAATGTAGCACCTGGGGTGGGTGGGAGGATGAGAAGTGCTCTTAACCATTCATTCCGTCACCTCCTGGGGTGCCCTACCTTCTGTTGGGTTCCTAATGAGTCCATTGCCTCAGTACCCTTGTCTTGGCCCCTTGATGTAACTTCTCGGCTGTTCAGATGGCTCCAAAGCTACTGGGGAGGGGGGGTGGGGGGAGCCCTCAGAGCCTAAGGATCTGTCAGATGCACAGGTGCACCTTGGGATGCATGGATTATGGCTACTGAACTGTCAACACACCCATTACAATCACATTTTCATCTGTTCATGTGGTGTACACCTGTGGCTTGTTAGCTGGAGATCTGATTGCAGTGGGGAGAATCCCGGTGTGAGAGAGGCCCTAACAGAATGGATCTAACCCCATTTGCACAATATGGTTAATTTTGTTCTATTTTTAATTTTGAAACAAGCCTGTTCGGTCAGTTTGAGCTGTCATCTTCTGGAAAAGTCACTCCTAGGCTGGTCCAATGTATGTGCAAGATAGTCTCCTGTAATCTGAAGGCCCACGGATTGCATCTTGCTTCCAAATGGGAAATGCCACTTCTGTCCTTCCATGATGGCCAGCAGAGACTTACAGCAGGTGATTACTAACTCACTTGCTAACCTCTATTGAAGTGCAATAGCCATATTTGCCATATTAAAGAGTCACTGTTTCAGTAATTACTCTAACACAGCACACATCCCTTGGAGGGTTAATTCGCTAAGACAGATGATCAGGCATTTACCCCTTAGTGTGAATTAGCTTCAGCAGCAATGGTCTCTCCAGATAATCAGATGAAACTAATGGTGGGAAGTGGACTTAGCACTTGGCAGTCTCTGAATATTCTGAGATAAAATATTCCATTTAATGGAATATTCATTCAATTAAATACCAGGGAGGAAAGAAGACTGAGGGGCAGAATTTCAGAATGGGGAAGGATGACTCTGGATGGGGCCCAGAAGTGAGGAATTCTGGGCAGGAAGACGTTTTGAAAGGAAGACATTTTGTTATTAGGGATGAACAAAAGCTAAGAATGTGGGAAAGAAAAAGTAAACTTCAATAGTGGGTATTTTACCAAGGTCGCATCCTTTTTCTTGCTGGTTGTCCAGGCTACAGAACAGTATTCTTGGGTGGCTGCCTTGGTAAACTGTAATTTGCAAAAGCTCATAGGCATCCATTTCCTTTAGTTCAGGTGCCATGGGGGTTCAAAGGTTACTTGTCCTCTTAACTCACTGTCTTTTTTTTTTTTTTTTTAATCATTCACCACAGTGCAGGTCTTTAGGTCAGCTAAGAAGGTCTATCACATGTGAGGTTGAGACTCTGAAGCCTGAAGATTGCTCTTTGACACCCAAACCATTTCCTTCCTATCCACATGGAACGTGATGGAACAGAATTACCAAGTACTCATGAGCTTGTACCATTTGACTGTAGGCAAATCAATGGTATTGGGCCAAAGGTGTATGGACTGACTTCTCCCTGCCGTTCTTACTCCTTCCATTGGGGATAGAGTGGGAAGTTATGAGGCTGATGAGGTAGTAAGAAGGATTTAGCTAGGTTAAAAAAAAAACTCTCCAGGAATGGGAGTAACAACCATATAGATAACTTCAGTACCCCATGTTAGATCAATACAGGAGACACTCCATAGCCTGTACTGACCTTTCATCAATGTTTAATTCTTTAATAGTAATGGATCTCCTACACCTAACACCATTTTTGCCTAGCAAAAGAATATCAGTGCCATAATACCTTGTTCTGTTTTGTTTGGCACATGAGCTTTTTGTAACTTCTGGTATTACATATTGTGACTTCCACAGACTCTAGGTAAAAGGATCCCTCGATATCAGAACCCTCTTGAACATATCACAACCACAGGGGACAGTTTACATAAAAATCAAGCCTTGCAGAAAGCCCCATTAAGTACACATAGTTTTACCTTTAGAGAGAATTAATAGCAGAAGAGGTCAAAAAAGGAAAAAGAAAGTAGATAAATGAAGACTCTTTTAAGTGGTGCCCATTAAGTCCCTCTCAAGAACAATAGTCGTTAGTGTCTGATTGATGTGCTGTTGGAAACGAGCACACTCATGCCTTCAAGTAACCACCAAAGTATGTGAGTCACTGATAGACCAGTGTTTCAACGCCAGGCTTGTTAGTGTCTCAGCTCCATTTGGCTGTCTCCAAGAAAAATGGGTTCAGGCTCTGTCGAAATTATCAGCCAAAGGGCACTAACTTCCATTCATTAGACCCATTGGAACTTTTCCTGTTCAGACCACACATGGACCCTGCTTGGGAGACTTAAGGACAACAGCAGCCAAAGTCTTGAAAGATGGTGGTGGGAGGAGCCAAGTCAAACATTGTGATAGCTTTCTGATGGGATTAGTGGAGAACCTTCTAGAAGGCTTACCCCCCAAAACAAACCACCTAGCCTGTTGGTTCATTTTCTGCGTGTTTGAATCTAAAAGCAAAAAGTAGATAGGGAAAGAGAAGGAAAAGGTGTCCCATGCCAGAATTCAGGAAGCAGTTGAGCTGGAACGTATCTATGGATGTAAATTTGAGGATGCATTTTAAGAGCAGTAAAACTTGCCTGACTTCATAGAGTAGTAGGTAAAAGAAGACTGTCTTCATTTTTTAAAAAAAATACTGATTATCATTATTCTGGGAAAGCAATTCACTTTGTTTACCCAAACTTGAATGCCTTGGGAATAGAACCCTATGGTGTAGACCAAAGCCACCAAAGGGATGAAATGCAAGAGGAACTTAATGTCCCTTGCCACTTCTCCCCTCGTCTCCTTTTGATTAACTCTCACAAGGGTGGAGTGTGAGTGAAAGCATTTATGGATAAAGAGGCACTTTTTGAATGAGTCAATGACAGGCAAAAGTCTGTGTTCTTTTCCTGGTCTACACATTTGTGAGAAACCCAAAGCAGTTTCTACAGTGGTGCCCAAATGTTGGCAACCCAAGAATTACTGGAAATCTTGTCGCTCTTCCCTGCACTTCTCTTCCAACAATTTGATCTCTTTGAATTTTAAGGAGAGGAGCAGGATTTCCATGAATCTCTGTACCAGTTACTATCAAAAGATAATACTCACAATATGTCAGCTGTTAACCACAGGCTGCATAGTGTGTAACAAATGCAAATAAGACAAAATTAGAAAATATACCTAAGAAGATAATTCACCCAGATGATGTTCTTTTCATTTGCGTTCTTGGCGTTAATAGCTATGGTGGCACTAGACTGTATCCAAATATATCCTCCATTCTTCTGCATCCATCGGTAGTACTTTGTCACACATTGACCCTTATTCAGCACTGGAAAAGAACCAAAACAGAAAGCATTGTGTTAAGACAGGGACCAAGTGATTTTCACCTGTGCAAAACCTCGAGCCTAGAATCAGGAGGTCCTGCACCAAGCTGGGGGTGCTCCATGTGCTTTATGTAGGGTGCCATTAGCAGAAGAGACAAAATCAATAATTCAGTGGAATGGCACCTCTGGAGCAAGGGTTACTGGCATTTGTAGCAAGACTTTATTCTGTTTTGGGCAGCCACTGTGTGAAAGGAAGAATAAAAGGGTTACAAGTCTTTTTGGCTTGCCAAGCACATACTGTGGTTCAGATACTGTCAATGGTTTGACGTCAGATTACAAGAAAGGCAAATCTGTATGGGATTTTTTCATAGCTTCCTTCTGAGATTCTGGACATTTGAATGGTTCCCAAGACGCTTTATCCCTTGCTTTGATCATTTCTAGTAGTGTCTTCCGGTGTCCTTACCCATCTGTTCCTTTGGTCTTGTCTGACCTCATTTATAGTTCTTAGATGAACTAAATTTACACTGGTCAGTCAGGAGAAATTCTGGTGAGAATGCTGAATGTTGGAAGAAAATAAATCCCCCATTTGAGTCAGATAGAAACACTGGCCTAAGGGAGGCACAGAATTGACTTGGCTAGAGCCAAACAGAGTGACAGTTCCACACACACTCTGAAATATGGCCCAAAATGAAGGAACAAGTAAAAACAATCAGTAATGTGAAACACTGCCATTAAATACCCACTGAAAGGGAGCTTTAAAATGCAGATGTTAAAAATGATACTTTAACCAAAATCTTGCCAAGTTGAAATTGATTTGATTTGTATCTGGGTACTCCTGAGCTAGTAAAAGGGGAAAGTGCAGTAAATCATCCCCTGAAATAAAGTGCTATGGATGGGAATGGTTTCAGAAGATGCCGGAAATGTGCACAAGCTGCTGTTAGGACTGGATGCAATCAAGACCATGCCCCCCAAGAGCTCACCAGCAGGCTGGCCACTAGAGGGCAGTGTGCACTCGTCTACACGGCCTACTTTTGGCATGTCCTTGTCTCCGTCTGCTAAAATGAAAAACCTCTAACTGCTGTAATAAATTTGGCTAAATTAGCTGCTAAATGGTTATCTCAAGTAATATGTATTTGCATTAATCATCTTGCTCTAAACCAGAACAAGCCAGAGTCCTAAAGACGTAGTAAATTCATATTGTCCATTTAATTACGGCTAATAAGTGCTTCATATACAATAGTTTCATGAAGTACATTTTGATTTTTTTTGGGGGGGGTGTGGATGGGTAAAGGGGAGTCACTTTGGAAAAGAGCCGTGTTTTAAGCTGTTGCAACTCTTCTCGACATGAACCGGGCCACTCTTCCTGCCTCTGAAAGTGATCACAAATCAAACCTCCACCATACCGAATCTCTAAGCATACATGCTGTTCTCCAGCTCTTCCTTTTTTCTTGCAATACACTAAATGGGTGGCTGTAAATTTTAATAATTATGTCTTCACTGTGGCTTGAACAAGCCTGGCTTTGACGAGTGTTTCAAATTGTGGCAAGTTTCATTCTGAAGCCACCGCACAGTTTAGGGTATTTTTAAGCTCAGAACTGTCACCCTGTCTTGGCAGTGAGGCTCCTCAGGTAGCATTGTACTCTCCTTTTGTAGGCAATTGTAAGTTCTGCTATTCTGCATGCATGGCTTCCCAGCCTCCAAAACTGAGTGGTGAAGCTGAAAGCAGTAAAATACTAACTCTACCATCCAGCTCTTCTGTCATACCATCATTGCATGCAACAAGATGTGCTTTTATTCAGATCCACTCAACCTGGTGAACTATTACTCGAGGAGTGGTGGATTATGTAATTCTGTCCACTCTTTGCATAGAGAAAACTTCTAGTACTCCAACCTGGTTGGCAGTATAATTCTATCTGCTTTTTATCTGAATGAACGAACAATTCCACACTGTTCTAGTATTTTTAACAAAGGCAAAGAGACTAAGAACTATCCTTTTAGAATCACATGAAGAAACATTGAGATGGTAGGGCTGGTCAACTCAGCTGGAAGGGATTCTGGATTGGAATGTGACCCAAAGAAGACAAAAAAAAAAAAAAAGAAAAAGAAAAAAAAATCTCCAGAATACAGAGTACAGAAAGGCTAAAAGAATGAAAGAATTGTAATATCAACTTAAAATTTGCAGAATCAACACAATGGTCATCCTACCTTCTTCCTAAAAATAGTAACAGACAAAATCCCAACTCTGAAAGCTATCCAGGAAAACCTCTGTTTCCTTGGCGGTTTTCAGTCTTTGCTGTAAAAGGAACTGAAAGGCTTATTTGCTAAAGGACTGATACCATGCCATCTTTTTGAGATGAGGGAGGATGACTTGGTCTGCTTAAATGCATCTGTGTTTCCTAAGAAGATACAGACTAATCTGTTAGGGCCCATGAATACAATTACATATGAACACATACAGCCTTCTTTATCAAACCCAAAGTAGGGACCATCTACCAAAGAGAAGGGACCCGAGTGAAAGGCAGTGGGATGAGTTTTGATATAAGGACAGGACCTTAGGAGGATTGAAGAGCAAAGGCTCCTTGGGGAGACAGGAAGACACAGTACTGCCCTTAGGTTGCTGTGGTGCCAAGATAAAGGTTTAGAGCCCACCGTGGGCTTTGGAGAAGATAAGTTTGAGATAGCTCATAACTGTTCAGAATTTTAAAAGGGGAAATATTTTATTATGGTCTTAGATTATGACTTTGCCCTGGAGATGAGTGTTTTCTGAATGAGACCCCCTACCCCGACACACATGGGGCATCGGGAATCTAGATGGCACATAATTTAGCTCCCTTGAAAGCGTGAAATGTTGACCAAAAGACTAACCAAGTTGTTTTTGTTTTTGAGGTCTCATCAAGAGCTAATAATGGAGTTTTACTTCTTTTAAAATGAACAGGAATATTTTTTGCTTATGAATTCCAGAATATAAATTTATGACTTTGGGATGAAGCTTATTTCTTGAAAAAAAAAATCATCAAATCAGTTGGGCCATTCCAGCTGTGCCAGAGGCAGGATCTGACAGCTTTTCCTGAACTCATGTGGTCCTAATCAGCTCAAGAAGAAAAGCCACCTTGGTGCCAGTTTGAAAGAGATTTTTAGTGGTAATAAATTAGAAAACTTGAAAAGCACACACAAAAAACTTTTTTGTTTCTCTTTAATCTAGTGGCTGATGTTTTTATTTTCAAGTTTTAGGTTTAGACAGCAGACAGAAATGAGGGAATGTGTGTGTCAGTCAATTTGGAAAACCAGAAATAAGCACAATGAAGTTAGTTGATATGGCAATCTTTAAAAACAGTTAATTGTCCCTTGAAAAGAGATAGATACTCATTAAACCAATGGGCCTAGGTAAATTCATAACCATGTACACAAACTATAAAGGGAAGGAAGCAGGGGAAAAACGCATGTGTAAGTTATATTTCTACTGTCACAGAAGACAGGCTGAGCACTTCCAACATGTAGTCTGGCATTTTCTCACTTGTTTATTCTAAAGTTGTCTTTCAGCTGTCCAAAATTCATGGGTTGAGCAGCCTGTGTGCCATGAGTACCTCCTAACATCTCTAGAGTCATGCCCTTAAAGGGTGTGTGATAGGAATTAGTTTTTATTTAAGGAGCTAAAAGAATTGAAATGGCCTCTACTAGATTTCACAAAGTAAACATAAAAAACATAGGGAGGATAAATAAGTGTTCACAAGTTCCCTCAGAATCTTGAATGGTCTAGACATGACTATGAATACCTCTGCTACCTGATTGCTTGCTTTCAGCTGTTCATGCTCTAAGGGAAACCAAGATGCTGTGATAACATATCTCACCCCCAAGCTGAAGGTGCCTTAGAATTACAAACTGTGCTGTTCAGAGGACAGAGGTGACCTTCCACTTGAGAGAAGAAAACAGGACAGACAAAGAGACACTGAACTTCCCTGGTTGAGCTGTGCCAGCCCTGTTCACCAGACAATTAGGGGGCCATGAGTAAGTGTCTGGCTTTTAATCAAACACTTCCCCCTTTCACTGTGAAGGGAGTGGCAACTACAGTTCAATTGAAAGAAATTGCAAAGTACTTGCATTTTAGAACATGACCTTTTACATCAAATTATACACCCCCCACACTCCCCTAAAAAAAAGACAAGATGCTAAGTTTATTGAATATTCTTTGAAAATGTCACCTGTTCTCTTGGTTCAAGCTTAGTGGTTGACACACAAGAGATGCTATGGTTGTAGGGAGTAATTGCCCCATGAACCCTTTGCTGCACACCCATGGTCCTGCGCACAGATACCAACAGTTTTCCTTGGGAAAACTTGGTCCACAGACCTGGACTGATGACTGAAAGGACATAAAGGAAGCCAGTGTCTGTGGATGAAGATAATTCTGTTAGTAAATCAAAACAAATCAGTACAAGTTTGCCTTCAGAAATATGAAGAAAAAAAGAGAACATGGTCTCTTCCTGTTGGGCTGTTCTAGAAAATCAAAGCCAAAGAGTCTAAATAGTGAGTTAGTTGTGCCTCACAAAGGAGGGAGCAGTCGGATGCAGTCTGAAGAGGAGATGAAGAACACATATCAAAGCGGTCATTTAGTAAAGTATCTCACAAAAGGACATTTTAGTGGTTTGCATATGCATTAAAAAGCTGCAATACTTGGTGCATTCAGGTAAGTATAGAATAAATAGGAAGTGGTGAGCTCATCGGAGCTGCCACACTTCACATTCACACAGCCGAACAAAGCGCTTCATTATCGTCATGGCAATAGGAGGGCATCTGCAGCGCCATTCACCCTCTCGAGGCGTCTTCTTCAATGGCTGTGGGGCACAAAGAGTGGTGCCTTCTGCAGGAGCTCAGAAGTGGCTTCTGAATGCGCTGAAGAGTGTGTGTGTGTGTGTGTGTGTGTAACGGGGTTGTGCTAGAATCACACTTTCTACTAATACCACAGTTGGGTGCTTAGCTGTGGCCACTCATTCTCTTTCTACATTCACAA